CTTTATGAATAAAATAGTTTTATGCAAAGCATCAGGCTTTACCATCATGCGAAAAGACCGCGACTGGAGCGAGCTCTGGGGCTGGAGCCGACACTGGAGCGAGCTCTGGGGCTGGAGCCGACACTGGAGCGAGCTCTGGGGCTGGAGCCGACACTGGGCTTAACGGGGAAACAGGAGCCCTCCGCGGGCTACACTCAGGACCAGGAGCCCTCCGTGGGCTATACTCGGGAACCGGAGCACTTCCTGGGCAGTAGGCTCCGGTGGAGCTTTGGAGGACTCCGGGGGATTTGGGGTTAGGCAGGTGGTAAGAGCCGTTGGAGTGGTATGTGGAGGTTCTCGGCGTGGGGTGAGCTGGGGAGATGCGGCGCGTTCCAGCGGGAGTTGGATGACGAGGCTTGGGAATATTCATTACTTCCTCAACTTCCATATCAGAGCTATTTAGGAATAGTACGAGATTAATCAGCTCGCTCAAAGGAAAATCACCCGTAGGGAGATCGCAGCAGATTGTTTCATCATCCAACCCCAGCAGGAAGCACGCACCTAGAGCGGCATCGTGCCACCTCACCCGGTTGGTGAGCTCGAGGAAACCCTCCACATATCGCTCCAACCTCTGACCGCCTTGCCGCAAACCCCACAGCACGTCCTCTGCTGCAGTCATCGTTAGTTCCGTTCTTCTGTTACGGGTTGGTGCGGGACACACACACACGAGGACAACGGAGATAAACAAAAGGTATTTTAATAAATCCAGGAGACAAGCAAGTACACCAACATTACATAAACGAGAACGGAGTCCAACTAAGGGAAAACTGAGAGTATTTGTAGTGGAGCAAATGAAAGAACTAATGAGTTAATTAATGAAACACAGGTGAATGAAATGACAATTAGGGGCCAAAGTAAAACTAGGTCACAGGGGAACAGATAAACTGAAAACACAATGAAAACAGAACAAAACTAAACATAACCCTAACAGCGACACTCATTAAAGGTGATTCACACCGTGTGCCTGTATGTTGCTCTGCATAAAATTGAACTATATACAGCACAGTAACAATTTTATAGATAAAATAAAATGTACACAAACCTGTATTTTACCGAAGAATGCATCAATTCAATTGTGCTTAGAACTGCTCTCTTGAAGTGAAGACGCAAAATCCCCGCGATAAATAACTCAACTGCTGGGTTACATCTGACCCAGGATCTGAGTGACACAAAAACTACCCAAACATTGGGTTGTTATGTCTGACCCAGGAGCTGCAAAAAAACCCAAACACTGGGTTGTTACATTTGACCCTAAAAATAACCTAAAAAATGACCCAAAAGGCTCAACCCAGCATTTGGGTTAAAAAAATAACCCAGGATTTTTTAGTGTATTCTTAGAAATAGCGGCCATTTCTTACAACAAACAAAGTGAATAAAGTTATTCGTTAGACTAATAATTCAAGAGTCTTTTTGACTCATTTGTTAAAAGAACTGGCTCATAAAACTAATTTGTTTGCTATAGTGGTCATCATGACTATAATCAGTGCTTTCCTAAAAACACTCACTCACAAATGAAAAGAAACTGTAACATCAGTATCAATACTTGGGTCTCGGAGGGTTAAATCATTTGAGTTAAACAATCTCACTGTAATAAAAACCTGTTTCCTTCCAAAGTTAAACGGAAAGATTTGGTTGTACAGGGAGGGAGAATTTGTAAAGGTTTAACGCTTGATTAACATTGCTTTAATTTTCTGCAGTTAAACATCTGTGTGGGTAATTGCTTGGCTTATTTCATCGCCTCTCTCCACAGTGCCCTCCTCATTTGATACATGAACCTGGGGAATAACAACACCGTTTGATTGTTGGAATTCCAATAATGCGCACTGCACCATGCATACACAAATAAGACCTTATGAGATGTATAAAAATCAATACAAGCTTGAAACAACTCCAAGTAAGTGCGATTAGGAGCAGAATATGTATGAGTGTGAGCGTACAAAATTACATTGCCACCTAAACAGTTCTGCAGTCTAAGAGATGATGATGTTTTCGTATTGTGCGGAAATGGGGAAATAAAAGTTGTGCTTGACGTCCGCGCAGAGGGAGTTGTCAGGTTTGATTTATGAAGTGAGGCCCTCTGCCTGACTGCCGCTAACATGTCAGTCTCCGCAAAATGGATGAAGCCCACAGCCCACTGCCTTCTGATTGGCTTTTTCCGGCTCACAGAAATAAGGTGCCCATCTTCATACAATAACTCGTCTTGATTAATCCAGGATCCCCGTCGAAATGAGAGATGGTCTTTGGGCTGTTTTGGTTTCGGTCGCTACATGATTTGGTGCTCTTCTGAGGTCATCGCCACTGAGGTCTCATTTTGCACCAGACTGCTCTCCTCTCAGCAACACTGGAGAATTTGTAATGCTGATCATCATGCCACAGCGTAGCACTGGTGGGCCTGAAGTCCCCCGCTGTCACACGTGGTAGAATATTCTGACTTGCATACTAATGAAAACAAACTTCAACATTTCACAGATCCGAAGCAGAGAAGTGCCATTTGGCATGTGCGAACAACACACTTATTGCAGCCCATACATGTTTGTTTTTCTCGAACGTGACTTTTGACTCACAATCCGTTGTTTGAATTTCCCGAAGACGACATAATTTAGTAGACCTTTCTGTAAAAGCAATTTATGCCTGACTTCTATTGATTTTGGTTATGTTGCTGACAGCCAATAGCACGTGTTATTTAGCTTCCAGCAGTCTGTAAACAATCTGTCATCTGTTGTTGGTTTATTTTTAATTCCAGCTGCATGTATTGCGACCTGTCTTCTGCCTTAATGCAGGTCTGTTCTTTTTTTCAGCACAGTTACAATGTTTATGTACTTTCTGAGCAGATCGAGCGAACGACAAAGATGAGGGGAAAATCAATGGTTTTCAAGCAGCACATGACAGTAGGTAAAACACGTTCTTTGTTGCCGTCGCAAACCCACAGGAAACTCACTGCTTCAGAAAGAGGCAGCGACTTGCCCTTAAGGCTGCTTTTTTTCTCTCGGCTCTTTTCCAGCTGGCTTCAGTAAACCTGTAATGTCATTGTAAAAGAAAGATGATTTCTTTTTCTTTCTTTTCTTTTTTTTTGGATGGGTTTGAAATCTGACTTGTGAAGGTCAGCAGATAAAAGGAGAATCAAGACAAAACTTATTGACAGCGGCAGTAACGCGTGTGGAAAACTTCACCCAACCCCCAGTGCTGCCGTATCCAAACACTTCACAAAGTGTGTGCTGAGGTGTGTGGGTGGCCGATGCTATGCCTGTCCATGAGCGACACGGTAGAGGTTCTTTAACTGCTTGTTCCCCAAATGCGAGGACAGGAAGTGCACTCTAAGGTAGCGATTCAGGCATGGTCAAGTGTTTTGTTTACGTTTAATCTTCTCTGTCTTCCTCTTCAGTTGCCCATCTCGTTTAGATCTAAGATCTAACATTATGAGAGTATTTTAAGTCTATGACCCCATTATATGATTCAGTTTTTAATTTCAGGATTTTTCATGGGCTAAAAGCATTGGGAAGAAATTAACCTTTTTTAAACTTTTAAATGCATCTTCTGGTTAGCATCATGGCATTTGAATATGACTTTAAGACTATAGGTGAATGCCTGTCTTTTTTTTTTATTTTTTTTAAGTGTGATTATGTTTTCTGAGACCTTTATCACCCACATCATTAACAAACAGCTGCAGGAAAGTGGCAGCAACTCCTGCCATTTTTAATTTCTGACAATCGCTCTTTGCACATAAAACAGCATTGTTACTTGCAATAATTCAGCTACTTTTTGTTGCCGTTTGCTTTTCTAAGAGGCAGTGAGTTGGAGCTCGTTAACTAAGGTTTGTTCAATCACGGCCTAATGAGAACTCGATTGTATCACAGGCTGGAGGTGGGGTTAGATTAATGATCCCTTTTCATCTTCTCTTTGCATTTACCAAGAAAGGCTAAATCTGCCGTATGATGAGCAAAATAACATATTTTCTCTCTAACACTTTCAAAGGATGTTCTTGATTTTCACACATTTTCTTCATCAGATGTATCTGACATCTGTCTATCTGTTCTCTGTATCTCTCTGTGTTTCTCTTAATTGAAACTACAAGTTCCCCATAATTACAGTCTGACTTAATGGTAGCAGCAGTTATTTTTCCACTCAACAATTATTCTGTCATCATTTAATGCGTTTCTTTTTTCCCCCGGGGAGCACAAAAGGTAAAATTCTGTATAATGATGCTTACAATGAAAGCTTATGGTGACCAGGGGCTCTAAAATTGGGCTCAAAAACACTGTATAGTACAATAGTAGTCTGTATGATTGTTTGTGTAAAGAAAAGACCTAATTGTAATCATTGATTTAATTTGCTTGCCAATATGCCATGTGAAAGTATCACGGCAGATTTCACTGATGCTGGATAGTTACAAACAATGTATATACCAAGGTGTTTCACTCATATTTCTGTGAATGGAAGAAAGTGCAGTGCGCAATATGGTAGAATTTCCAAGCTTTCTGAAATAAAGTAGCCAAAGTCATCATGTCACATAGAAACAGTTAGTGTTTCGAAGGTATGGTTACATTCAAGCCAAGTAGCTTTGTGTTGATCAACATGGTGAATCCATGGGGAAATCATTCGCCCTTTCATGCAATTCCTGATCATACAGATTCCTATTGAAATGACTGGATTTCGCCCAAGAAAATTCACTAAACCTTACTAAATGTGATGTGATCACCTTAAGACGCACACTCGGGATTGCACATATTCATTGGCTGGACCAAGCTGAAATATATGCTTTTCCTCATTTAAGTAATATTTGGTCCTACATGCCCAAATATAGCTGTTTGTTGCATATATGGCCAAAAAACTTTCTAGGTACTTTGATAGTTCGCAGGTTTCATGTGATTGATCACAGTAATACAAGGGTAAAGTTGAAGGAAGGTTGAAGTTCCTTAGACAAAGCTGTCATACAGCTTCAGAAGACATGAAGACAAAGTGGTATGGAGTACTTCTATGGAGACTTGGGTCATATAGGTTTTATAAAATATGAGGGTGAGTAAATGCCGATCGTTAAAGATCCATCCTTCCTAATCTGCACTCCTTTTTTCCTTAAAACATCTCCAACTGGTAAGCAGGCATTCAATTTGGAGGTTAATCATTTGAGTTGACATATCTCACCATTCCTTATTAGAACAGAATACAGCCAGCAGGTTGGAACCTTGAATATGTCATTATACGTTCTCATTTGACCAGCCCAGCTGCATGCAACTGATCACATTTATTAAAAAATATACCACATAACATTTCTTTTGCCATACAGCGCCCGAGTTCTACTCAGTCTACTACAATTTGACAAGCCTCCAGCTTCTTTTAAAAGAGCCTCGCGTCTGATCAAAGACAAAGAAAAGTAAAAGGAGAGCGTAATGTTCCAGCTCATTTCAGAGTTTTCTAATTCTGCCGGGTGCAGTTTCTAGCGGGGGGAGGTAGAGCTGAGCCCCGTCTGCTAATGAAAATGCACTGAAGCAGGTTAAATGCACAGAGCAGGAGCCAAAGGCTGCTCTGATTGTATTGCAGGCAACACCGTAGCAGCGTGTCTGTCTCCCTGCTCATTTGGATCTGATGGACTTAATAGGAGTTTGTCTCCAGAATGCAGATGAATGCACAAACAAAGGGCTGGAATGGAACCGATTCCACCCACCCCACTGAGTCTTTCTGCTTTACTGTTTTTTTTTTCTTCTCCTTCTCTTTTTCCCATTTCAAACGATCCGAGTTTGTCCACTCTCACAGCCACTCTCCGTTATTAAAACAGTACGCTCCTTAGACAGGAACGGCGAACGGAATTAGCTGTTATTGACTGTTTTGTGTGTGCGTTTGTGGCTAAAGTGGCGCTAGTTAATTATGTCTGGCCCTTAATTATGCACAGTTGCTACCCTGCAGCCAGTCCAGGTGTGCGTATGTGCGTTGACACTGTTTGCTAGCGGGAGGAACTACCCCGATGTGTTTATGATTCTCTGCAGTTGCTACATAGATTCATTTTCTGCATGAGAGCACATGGGTAGGATGAGAACGTTTTACAAGAGTTTCCTAATGAACAGTGCCTGCGCTGCACAAAGCACAGTGTGTCTAAACAATCTTGCTGGTACATTTGTGTGCTTTGTGCTGATCGGAGGGGTTTCTCATTTTTCAGAAGGGAGATATTTTGTCATTTTTTTATTTGCTTGTTGAAATGTTTGCATTCAGAAAACTTGTAGGACGTTTTTAGTTTAGTCAGATTTGTCTGATGAACCCAGAAGAAAAGAAAAGAAAACTCAGTTGCTTATTCATATCTCAGGAGTCTGAATAGAGTTTGCAGCTATGTTTCGTTCAAGCATCAACTTTGTTTTAGATGTTTCTCCTAAAATTGCTTTTTTAGATGTTTCTCCTAAAAGAGAGGGTGCAAAAAACCCTCTTTTGGCATTAAAAAAATGACTGTCCGGATTTACTAAAGACACGCAGTGAGAAATTAGCGATAAAAAGGCTTGGACAGTCATTTTTGCGGCTGACCTTATTGCATATGCATTTGTAGGAGTGTCCCTTTCATACGCAAAATTTATGGGAGGAGAATATTTAAATGAATCACGCAACATGATTTACTGGGGTTTGTGGTGGTCAATTTAGTGGTATTTGCGCCATTATATACTGCCCAAAAAAAGCATTTGTTAACTAATTTTGCGCTTGACACAGCTGCGATTGTTGCTGCCAGGATGAGCCACTGCAGAGAACAGAGTGTGTGGTAGAAGGGAGAGAATTTTTTTACACTCGTATTAATTTATTTGGAATGCCAGAGGAAGACATTATCCAAACATATCCTTACGCTAATTTGCACTGCTATTGCGTTGGTTAATATGGAAATAAGATATTGCGTATGCATTCTTTAATTTGCGCATTGTCCGTAGATCACCCGCAGAACTTCCCACTCCCATCGGCGCTTTTATGGAATTGCGCTCTCGCGCTAATTTGCCGTGTTTAGTAAACCTGGCCCTAAGACTCTTATTCAGCTTTAAACTGATCAGTGACAGTAGACATTTATAATGTCACAAAATATTTCTATTTCAAATAAATGCTGTTCTTTTGAAGTTCCTAAAATCAAAGAATCATTAAAAATTAAAATAAAAAGCTATCATGGTTTCCACAAAAATATTAAGCAGCACATATTAGCACAAGTTTTCCACATTGATAATAAAAATAAATGTTTACTGAGCAGCAAATCAGATTATTAGAATGATTTCTGAAGGATCATGTGACACTGAGGACTGGAGCAATGATGCTGAAAATTCACCTTTGCATCACAGGAATTACATTTTATGATACATTCAAGTAGAAATCATTTATTTTAAATTGTGATGATATTTCTATTTTTACTGTATTTTTGATTAAACAAATGTAGCCTTGGTGAGCATAAAAAACTTATTTCAAAGAATTGATCCCAAACATTGAACAGTACAAAATATACATTTTGAAGTCTTCTTTTATCCACATGGTCGTTTTACATTTTTTATTTTAAATATCTGATTACAAATTTAATATACTTTCATTCATCTATACAGTCATAGCATAGAGTTTTAACAAGGACTAAATTGCACCAAAAGTTACAATTGTGGCATGTTTGTTTAAAGATGCTCATTTGTTTAAAGAGGAGGTTGATAGGGAGTCTCATATGATTTATATGAACTACAGCTATATGCATACAGCGATATTCAGTTGCATTCAAAAACTTGAATGCAAGTTTGAGGCTTGATGACCTGATTTGGTTGTAGAAACATTTAAGTCCCATTGTACATTGAAATGCAACATGTTACAGAAGTTCAGTGGGTTGTGAATGCCATTTCATGTCGATGTTAATGTTAATTCACAATTCAGATCATTTTATCTTAGGATTTGAGTTCTTACTGAATTTTTTTCAGTTGATTGCAGACTAAAGCAAATCTGAGCACAGTTTGAGACATTTTTTGAGACCTATTTAAGGAGGTACTTGTGAAATTACAAAGATCATTTTCTCCGTAGAAAAATCTGAGCAGCAGGGAGAGCATTTGTTCTTCATTCAGTCTCATACTGAAGCTGCCTAGGAGAAACAATAGAGATACAAAAGTTCTCAATTTCAAGATTTTCTTTTGCTTGAGATCTAATGCATAATTTGTTACCTTAGAAGTATATACATCGTGCAAGCCTCGAAACTTTTAGGTATTCCCGACCAGGCTCCCCTATATAATCAAAACTTTATACGTAAGAGTGATTTATCTGTAGAACAGCTCTGCCCTGAGATGCTTTGAGGGAACCAGGTGAGAGAGATATAAAAAGCAGACAGAGATTTTCCTTCAAATGTCATCCTGACAGCTCTTGGGTTTCAGAAGGCTTTGGAACAGTTTGTTTGGTCAAACCCAGTGCAGAACGAGATGATTATTCATTTTAATGAAGGTTGATTAAATATTTAGAACATTTAATTAGAAATCCAGCTCTATTATTGAGAGTGTCTCGATTATAGCACAATGTTTTTGAAGAGTCCTTCATTAGAGAGTCCTTTGAGCATTGGCTGGGCTCACAGGGTCTCATTCTGACGTGCGATCTGACGTTTGGGGCATCACCTTTCTAGTGCATAGAGCAGCTAGCAGTGATGAGCCTGACAGGGAAGGAGGGATTTATTAATGAGGCATGGTGATGTGGGGACTGTGACCCAAGCAAAGAAAACCTTCCACCCAGGACAGCACCAGGAGAACTAACATGCCCTCCCCTCCGCCGCCGCTGTCAGCTGCCAACCAGCAGGAGTGTGATCATGTCACACTGACGGGTCGTTGACTGACAGTTGTGCTGCGGTCTCCCTGTTTCTCTAACTCCTCATTAAAACAGAAATGAGTGGGAGCAATCACTGTCACTCAAGTGGCAAAGCTACACGGGCATTAATAAACACTGAGAATCGTGGGTGGAAAGAACCCTGCTGCAGTCTTCTGAGCTGTGGGTTCAGTGAGGAGAGTTTTTGAACCTCTCTTCTTGCCGTCACTCTCCGCTATGTGATGGCCAGATGCTGATCGCGAGCATGTGAATGAATGTGTTGGTTGGAGTTCTGATGTTTGCGACTGACGGGTGGCAGTGAAAGCCACACTGATCCATTCAAGCCTGTATACTACAGGACACACACAACAGATGTGAATTGTCATTCGCTTTGCACAGTGTGTAAGCTATTCTCCTGTGAGTTTATTTTTCACATCAGGATGGTGATCACAGAGGGAATATATATATATATATATATATATATATATATATATATATATTATACTGTATTAGCATGTGTACTGTTTAAATTGATATTTTTCTGAACAAAAAATAATGACTATCTTGCTTTTTTTCTATGATTACAGAAGACACCCACTAAAATGTCAAAATGTCACAAAATGTCATATAAAAATCTTGTTAGGCATATTTTAAACATGAATAATTTGGTTGATAAATTAAAAGACTTTATTTAAGGATCACAGTGCTGTCATGTTTGTGTACCATTAAACCCCTGATAAATATCTATATTAAGGTGAATTGAAGAACAGTAGCAAGCTTGATTTGATTAAAGATTCTACATACAATCCGTAAAAAGTTGTTTATACACTTATCTGACTCCTGAAGTACATTTTGTGAAGGAGAAATAGTAGAAGTGTAAATGAATCTAAAATGCTATTTCTAGCTCTTACAAAGCGTAATTACATTTTATGATGCGATTAGAAAAAAATCTAAATTAGATCATGTTCTTCCTATTTGATTTAATACAAACAAGTCCTATGCTTGAAGAAAAAAATACATAAATATATGTTTACTTTTAAGGAACACAAGCAGAGTTTTTTCACTTGTTTATACTTATATATTGTGAATAAGTGAAAAAATCTGCCATTTTTAAAGGGGTCATATGATGCGATTTCAATTTTTCCTTTCTCTTTGAAGTGATACAAGCTCTTGGTGCATAAAGAAGATCTGTACAGTTGCAAAGACTAAAGTCTCACACAAAATAATGTTATTTTTAGCAACATCAT